TTCTGCAAACACGAGTGAGGTGTTAAGGGCACTGCCCTGAGCTGCCCCCCCTGCCCACAGCCCCACCAGTGACAGCCAGTGGGCTGCCTAGGCAGGATCTGTGCCCCAAGCTGCCCACTCTGCCTCCCGGGGCCTGCTGGCACATTGCCCCCCGTGCCCTCGCCCCCGGGGTGCCTGCGTGCGTGACATGTGCCATCGAAGGGCTGACATGAGAGCTCGAGCAGCATGGCAGAGCATCAGAGGGACTTTCCTCCACGCAGACAAGTGCAGTAGGGCCGGTGCGTGGGCAGGAGGGTGGCGCAGGTCAGAGTGAGCAATAAAGTGCTTCCAGCCAGAAAGCAAGCGTGCTGTGTGGGGTGCTGGCACACAGAACAATGCAGGGGGAGCAAGGATTGCTGCCCGACCCACTGCTGTCGGGGCTGTGCTAACCGCCAGCACTGCCCACAACGGGAGGCCCTGCGTGCCAGGGTGCCGGTGGAGCTGGGCTGGCTGGGGCAGAGCCCCTGCAGCCAAGAGAGCCGTCCCTATTGGCAGGATTAGCACCCCACAGCACAAGGCTTCAACAGAAGCCCAATTCCAGGCCAGTGCTGAGCAGCTCTGGGGGCTGGTGTGCTGCCCAGCTAAGGGAGGAAGCCGTGGCTTTGGGCTTGTTAGTCCCCAGCCAAGGGGACTTTCTTTCCTTCCATGTCGGGGCATTTCATGTGGCTTCAGGGGAGCTGCCTTACAGTAAGATAGTCCTGTCAAAGGAGGGCTCGGGGGCGCTGGGACCCTGCTGTGCTCCAGCAGCCACTCGTGGGAGCACCTCCCCCTCCAGCGAGGAGCAAACCTACTCTGTGAGCCCAGCTCTCAACCCTGCTGGGCTCAGGACCAGTCCTTGGCCCAGGAACAAAGCTGGGATTGCCCGGATGGATCAGAGCAAGGGCCAGGCTGGGTGGAGCACAGGAGGGCACGGCACGACACTCACGTGGAGGGTAAATTACAGCCAGGCGCTTGTCCCGGCCAGGCAGTTTCGCTCTTGGGAAAGATGTTTACCCTGAGAGCAGGGATGAGTTATTTCCTGTGCTCTCAGCGGGGAGGGGGACGGGGTGGACGCTGGAGGGAAACCCACAGCATCCAGGGAGCCGCACTGGCAGCAGCCATTGCTCACGCACGTGTCTGTGACCATGGAGCCGGTTGTGGTGACCTGACGCAGGGTCCGGCTATCCCGCCTTGCTGGCTGAGGAGGGGAGTCCAGCGCTACCCAGCTCCAGCAGCCAGCACCGGGCCCTCCTTCAGACTCCTCATCCTCTGGCTAGTGGGGATGGCGGCTGGCTTTCCTGCAGTCCCTGTGCCAGGTTGGGAGGGGAGGCCGGGTCTGAACTGTGCAGAGCAAGAGGCAGAGGGAAGAGCCCTCTGAAAATCAGAGGGGTGCCCACAGGCACCAGGAAGAAAGATAGTGAAGGGAGCCAGCAGGAAGGGCTCTCCCAGCGTCTTCTGCAGCACGGTTTGAGGGGTGAAACGAGCAGCTCCAAGTTTACTGAAAGGTGTTTTAGGAAACACTACACTATATTTAGTCAGAGAGATTTGATAGTATCAGGTAATGTTACAAAACCCTTGATCAAGAGGAAATCCCCAACTACTCAGTAGTCCTACTCCTGTGACGGGCCAACTCCGCCAAAATCAAAGTGTTAACGAAGGAAGCGCCAACAGGGTGTTCATGACTAAACCACAGCGATGAGTGAGGTCTCCAACACCCCCC